GTCAGATAAATCATCAATCGCAATGGAAATAACGTCCAACCTGTTCCGTACGATATGCTGGGCATATCATACTGACTCACCCTAGTAACGACAAGCCTACGCTAGTAAAGGACACCAATAGGGGGGACGAGCTTATATAAGGCCCTGCGAGACACGAATCGGGGCTCTCGAGCGTCTTTTAGGCAAGAGACCGAACGATAAGTAGAAAACACCGCGCGAAACACACACGCCTCTGCCTTTAAGAAGCAAATACTTAAATAATTGACCAACGAGTTGAGTTCTTTTCGTGACGCACCTCCTTACCAGCTTGTTTATCCTACGTAACAAACCATACAAAACCAAAAAAAATCAGATTCACTCCCGATTCCATTGAAAATTTACCTACTAGTATATTATTACTTTCATCAAACTTTGGCGAGTTTTCCTTATACATACACTAAAATGATTTCTAATATTTTCTCGTTGTTTCAATCCAAATAGCACAAAAGTAAATAAAAAAAACAAAATTTGCACCAAGAATACAGCATACAAAGACCAACCAAACAAATTGTCATACCTGCGTATTCCGTAATTCTTCATCCTTGACCTTAACCACCAACTTGAACAAACTCAAAAAAAAGTATTTCCCTAAATCTCCAGACTTTCGGGTAATCCTTATGAAAAAGTCTCGGGACAGTATCGCTATAGATCGGCTGAAGCTTTTATCGAATGTATATGTGTATATATTTTAAGTGCCGAGCGTGGATCTAATTATGCTCATCTATCTCGTCCAAGCGCCCTCGACTCAATGCTAGAATGCCGAATGCTGATACTAGAGTAAAATTCCTGCTTTGCGAGGACTCCTCCTTTCTTGCTTATCGCGTATGCACGGAGGTATATAATTTGGGTTGAGAGAGTGCAAAAGTTGTGTAGTCAGAGTCCAACACAACATCAAGCTTACTCAGTACCAACTGTAAGGCTACTACAGTACGATGTTTGTGTTCATACAGTTTGGCGCAGTGCTAAGCTGTAAGGGCCCGAAGAGAGGGGGCGAGCGAGCCCAAGGCTTTGGACTCTCTCTGCATGACAATCTCGGAGGCTTATAGTCTAACGATAAATATAGATGTATACATGCATAGATATAGTCAGACAGAGGGAAAAGGTGTGCAGCGCTATACACTAATGTTGTATATATGTGCATATGTTTGCATTTCTTTTTTCTTATGACGTGCAAAGCATGGGCTCGCATCAGCTGCGGCCGTTTTAACTATTTACATGCTGCACAGCTTGTTAATGTTTTTTATTAAGTCGCTTATACGTATTAGTGTAATTATCAGCAATGTTAGTGATGATGGTCCTCAGTTCAGTATGATTACGAAAATTTATTATTTTTTTGGTGAAATTTACTTTTNGTTGCTACATACATTTCACCATTAAGTTTTACACATACGCAAGGCTCAATATTTAGTAACATTTTAAAACAACGTAACTGTTTCGTTGGTGTATTTATTGTCACTTCAAAAGTATAGTAGTGGTGTTTAAAATAATATAACATATCCATTTGCCGAAGTAAAAAGTAAATTTCACCAAAAAAATAATAAATTTTCGTAATCATACTGAACTGAGGACCATCATCACTAACATTGCTGATAATTACACTAATACGTATAAGCGACTTAATAAAAAACATTAACAAGCTGTGCAGCATGTAAATAGTTAAAACGGCCGCAGCTGATGCGAGCCCATGCTTTGCACGTCATAAGAAAAAAGAAATGCAAACATATGCACATATATACAACATTAGTGTATAGCGCTGCACACCTTTTCCCTCTGTCTGACTATATCTATGCATGTATACATCTATATTTATCGTTAGACTATAAGCCTCCGAGATTGTCATGCAGAGAGAGTCCAAAGCCTTGGGCTCGCTCGCCCCCTCTCTTCGGGCCCTTACAGCTTTACAGCTTAGCACTGCGCCAAACTGTATGAACACAAACATCAGGCTGTGAAAGTCTCATTGCGTTGAACTGTATTAGTTCAGTAAATGTACGAGCTCTCTCAACCCAAATTATACCTCCGTGTACAGTTCTAGTGACGCGTTGACCACGTCAGACGCGTCTTGCGCGTGTATCGTATGCGTGACACCTTCTTAATGCTGGATAAGTGTTTGTTCAACGAAAAAGTGACAGATTTTCATGACTTTGAGATCCACGAGTTTATGCCACTTTTAAAACTCACACGTGAAAATTAATAAATAATTATTCAAGCTTATAAACGGCATTTTTTTTTTTTTTTTTTTTTTTTTTTTGTATGACCATGAAACGTATGAAAACGAAGCTGAAAACAATCTTTGGGTTATTATAATAAATATAATAACAACCAATTGTAAAGACCCGCACAAGATAAATTCAGATGGTGTATACTTTTATTTCAGATCGTACGATTTCGAATCGCGTCGGACCGCGCAAGTATACCATGGTACACTATACCGATCGTATCGAATTTCACTGGTACCGAGATTTTTTTTAATTCGTACTCTTTTTTTTTCAAATTTGTACAACAAAGAGTCGATAAGACACCCAACATACGTACATGCATTTGATAAGGGATACAGGGTAAAAGGGCAATAATATGGCTGACAATTAATTGCGAGGCCAACGATGACAAATTTAATTGGCGTACAAATATAAACACAAGATTAGGCGTACGTGTTAAAGCCTACACAGTAACGTGTATACGCTTGCAACAGAACCAATTACCAAATGTATAATATACACTTGGCTGAGCAGAGCTCGTATTCGGGTTATCAATGAATCGGCGACCGATCCGTTGGTTAAATTCGGTTTTATAGGACACACAGAGCAGCAGATCGGTAATCATGCGAGTCCCATCGGTACGATCGTTGTTTATTTATTTATTTTTTTCCCCTTACCAGTCAGCAGGTAGGTATATACTTTGGATAAAAATATACGGTATACAGCGCCGAGGAACTGTATACGTTGAGACGCTCGCGCGCGTAATTGGATCACGTTAAGTTCGCTGGCCTTCGCCCGAGATAATGTGTGCATTATTATACCCTGTGCGCAGCTTAGTCTTGAGCTTTTTCTCTTTGTCGTCCAGCTGTTCATTCTATGTGTGCTCGTGTAGTCTGAAACTAGTTGATACGCTCTTGTTATCTGTTTGGACGTTTCGCGTTTGGCTTGATCGTTCTCTGCGCGGGTCGTTGCAAGGGGGGACTTTTTTTTTTTTTTTCTTTGTCGATTTTGCATAGAGATCAAGTTTTGTACAGTTTCGGACGAAAAGTGACCGATGGACTATTTTATTTTTTATTTGCCTCATTTTTTTCAGGATTTACCGTCTCAAAAGACTACGTTGTGCAAAAAATAAAAAAATAAAAATAAAATAAAATAAAAAAATTGCTTTGTTAAAACGATTCCTCGTTTAATATAAAAAACAAAATACTCGCTCTGGTAGAAAGTATAAGCATTCAAACGCATAAGAAAAATGTATTGTATCCTCGATATTATTGTTATCATCAAATTAAATAACGCAATTTAAATTTTTAAAAATGAGAAAGCTCTTACGTGAGTGGAAAATCTATAAATTGTTTTAACAAGAATTTTCATATCTGAATGCTTTTGTGAATAAATTTTTTTTGATACCTAAATACTGCATTTTGGCCCTCCATGCGATTGTTATCAGCTCGAAATGAACAAGTGATACACTTGGTGGAGGCAGCATGAAAATTATTCCAAATTAAATACGCACACAACGATATCCAACGCTTGATGCAAAACCATTGTATTAAGATTCAACGCATCCTTATGTGTATACATGTGTATTTTTCGATGGCGAATCACTGAGAAATCGATGTTGCACTTAAAAACAAGACATTGAAGTTTGAAATTACAATACAAATCATTGGTACTCGCGTCGATCACACCCCCATCCAAATTATTCCATGCAACAATATAAATCCACGTATCTGTCAAAAAATGTGATAACCCCGTGACAGTAGAAATGAATTTTCGTCCCCAAACTTCAGCACAAGCCAGAGATGGATGCGCGTACAAATTTCTCGAAAGCTGAGCCAAGATAAGCAGGGCAATACAACAACGTCAGCGACCATTCGCGCACACCTGTCAATTCCAGACATGTGTAATGTGCAACTCCCCCTCGAAGCAGAAGAGGATAATTTATATCCCCTACGCGCGACTCAGCTGATGCACATCAGTGTAACAAATGGGAGGACACGCTTTCATCGGCCCTACACTGAATTTACCCGCCAACTCTCGCGTTCAGGATTTTTTTTTACGCCATAAAATGAATTGTATTTTAAAAATTAAAACAAAAAAATAAATATGTAAATACAAAACAATAGTGATTCCGGGTGATACCACACGTGTGCACCGAATGAATTTTTAATCCTCATAGTGTCCAAGATAAAAGAGCACGCTCAGCTCGAAAATCAATTCGCCCACCTCCTCGTGATTATACACATACTGCAAGAGGTCAGGGAAAAAAAAAAAAAAAAAAGAAAAACTCGTCCACCTCTAATTTGCAATCAACCCTTCCGTAACTCGTAATCCACCGGCCCTTCCTCCAACAGGTACACGTGAAGCTCCCCGTAACACAACCGCCTTTCAGATTCTCCCTTCTTTTTTTACTACACAGCTCCAAGCCCCTCATTCATTGGAGAAGAAAAGAAGAAAAAAGTGCCCCGCACCTTGATTCACAAAATTAAAGAGCACCACGCGATCGATCGCAACTTGAGAGGAGGAAAAAAAAAAAAAAAAAATTCAAGTAGGTATATGTGCTCCCAACACGCATGTAGGGCAAAGTAGCGCGGCTCGTAACAGCCACACACCGGCAAAAGCGTGCAACCCCATTGGGGAACGACGGCACATGGCACGCTTTGAGGTGGGAAAAAAAAAAAAAAAAAAAAAAGAATAATCTTGCAGATATAGGTAAAATGACCAGAGAGGGTTGCAATTGAATGGGTAGTCGTTGAAAAAACTCACCTGTCAAAACCCACCAAACTCGAGTACAACCAGCACACCCCGGGCAAAACCTCCTCCAAGGGAGCACGGCGGCTTTCTACCTTCTGCTGTTCCTATTTTACGTGCACAATATGCACGCGTATTTATATACAGAGAAGGGAGAGAGGAGGAGGAGGTGGGACGATGATATCCGGCAACACCAGAGGCACGATTAAGACACTCGCGTCCCTCCGGAAAGCACGTACTTTTATACACCACTCGTGTACGTGTATATATATGCAAGCACAGAGGTATTGAACAAAACCAAAAAGAAAAAAACTTTTTTTTTTTTTTTTTTAATTTTTTATTCGCCAGAGCAGTGAAAGGAGAGGGGGGTATATAGTTGTTGAAAAAGATAGTTAGCGCGCGCGTGTGCCAGGGAGGGGGGAGGGGAGAGAGAAAAAAAACGCACGTAAGGATTGGAAAAGAGAGACGGGGGGGGAAGGGGGCAAGTTCCGTCTCGTTGCACTGCGTTTGAAATTATTATTATTTTTCGCGTGCAAATGCAGAATAAGGGTAGCGATAGAGGAAGCGGAGCAGCACCACTAGCCAGGCGCCCTCGCCGCCCCCAGGAGCCGCACTGGCGGTGCCAATGTGTGGTCGCGATACGGCGCGGGGGGCGCTCTCTCGCGGCTGCTCTCCTTTTTTCGCCTCTCTCCGTATCTCTCTGGCTGCGCCTCGTGTACATATGTATACACACACGCGTTTACCAGCGTGTTGGGGTGGCGTTGGTAAGAGGGATGGTTTTTTAGCACCACCGGTTTGCGAAGCTAGCGATCGGCCCGAGGTATCGGAGGGCGCGCGAAATACAACCCCCCCCCTCCCCCACATCAGGGGTGCCGACGCGAAACTGTTTTACCCACCTTTGCTACGTTTTCTCTTCTGGATCTCCCTTGGGTTGGGCGCCCTTTTTTTGCGCAGCCTCGCAATACGGAGTTGGACTCTCGCGTCATGTGCACACATTCAATGGTTTTGCGCGCTAAATTCGTCCGATTGAAAATCGATTGAAGAAAGCGAGACTATACAAATGCACATAAGTGTAGGTAAGGGTTTTTTTTTGGGACGGGGGTGGGAGAAAAGTAGTTTTTAACTGCAGGATCGGACAGTTCTTACCTCGTTGTAATGTGGTTTTGCGCCCAAGTATACATTATGTACAAAAAACAACAATAACCCAATAATAATGCAAGTTTTAGAAGCAACCCCCGTGGTTTGAACGCGCCGCCTCAATCGATCGAAGCGAAAAAAGAAAGAAAAGATTGATCCTCGTAAGCAAAAGTATAGGTAAAAGTCAAAGACGCGATTGAAAGCCTCTCTTTCCCCCCCCCCTTCCTCTCCCCTGCGTCATCCCTCATTACGTTTTCATGGGCCAAAGGGGTCACATTGGCGTGTGGCTCCTTCCTATCCACTCTATATGCCCACACGAAGGTCTGTCCCGGTGGTGCGCAACCCCGGTTAATATTGCACGCGGCACCCTAGAAATAATTCCCACTCGGACGCGACTCTCTTTGCCGATGATCGGTTATTAATTATTCGCGCCCGTCTCTCGTATACCCTTGAATCGTCATCCACACCTCTCGCGAGCAAAGCTCCCTTTTCCCGCGCATCGTCGCGCAGCCTCCGAATTGATCGTCGGAGCTTTTCTTATCTGTGCGCTATAGTGCACATATATCATGTTGACGCCGTGTAAAAGCCCCAGCTTTGTGTATACCTTCCACACAGTGCGTGTACACACGATTGAACGGCGAAGGTGACGCGCCCGGGGGCTCGTTCGACGTCACTTCCCTTACAAAGTGCTCGCTCCGCTTTTAACTCGGAAGTTGTGCTGGTGGGTAAGTGCTCGGCGTAGTCATAATACATATACACTCACCGCGAGATTTTCTACATCTTTGACCAATTGTTTCATTTATGCATCGTTTTCTCCTTGTTACAATATGCACGAGTAGGTATACACCGCGTCCTCTTTACTGTGACTCTCCTTCCTTTGCGGCTGCGGCACAGCCGTACTCGGTCGCTCGGCTTTTTACGAGTCCGTGTCAATAAGGACCGAATTTACGCAACTCGGCATTGTTTATCAATATTCATGATTTTCCCCCCCTCTCCGTAACACGAGCCTACGTAAAGATGTACATTTTTAAATAATGGAAGAAAAAAAGGAAAGTCCTTCGCGAGGTTGGCGAGCCTCGAAGGGCAGCGTGGTACTGCAGATGTTCAATTTGAAGGATCATTGAATCACGTGAACCTTGTGTTTCAGGTGTCGAGTTATCATAGGCATCGGGGCAAGTGGCCACGAGGTGAGGGAAGGACAATACAGCACGCAGATTAGATTGGAAAAACAAAAAACATTCGATGCCGCGGTCGAGGGAATCGACATGTGGGGTGAGTTGTTTTTGAGTAATACCTACAGGTTTATAACGCCGTTGCGGAGGAAATTTATTCGAAAATTTTTATGAAAAGTCAACGGAGCAATAAGGGATACATTTCGCGTGGCTCTAACACAAAGCGACCTTTACAATTTTTTATGGAAACAAGTTGTTAAGGACAATACAAGTGCGTTTGGAGCGTTTGTTACATTTGCTTGAAGTACAAACAATCTGAGAGCTCGTTTTTGGTAAATCAAGTTTCTTTCGAGGATGCAAGTTTTCCGTAGTACTTAATGTCCTGCACCGATGATAATTCACTCAAATAAATGTGCGCAAAATATCAATGTGAAGTTCAGGGTGCTGCCATCTAGTGGCTGTTACATAAACTTTTATTTTATGGCAAGCTACGTTGCCAACTGTAGGTGTACATACTTGCAATAGTTTTTTTATTTTAATTTGTAACTTGTATAATACTTGACACGTGTATTTAATTTCTTTAATGGTAACGAACAAATAGTTGGTTTACAATTTTTTTTTTTTTTTAATGGTCTACACAAGAGTTGAACAAAGTTTTATTTAACGCGAAAGGATGTATTAAAATCTCCCGCTCTGGACGACATTTTATACATTACTTTGCGTGCCTGTTCACTATACTCACGATTAGACCGCGATCTGATCCAACATTGGGAGAGTGTCAAACGTAAAACATAAGTATACATAGAATTGTTTAATTTTTAAAGTGCAGGTATATCGATTTCGGTAGTGCACAAGAGACTACACACGTATGAGCTTTTTCGTACATGTTACTCGATCAATTTGATATAATTGCAAGTGATGTAGAATAATACTGGAGAAATTGTCTTACGAGTCAACGGTAAATATTTGACATTTCACTTCTCTTTACACACGAATATTTGTGAAACCTCGATAAGTAATACAGGAAGATTATGCAAAAAAAAGATACCAATGTTATTCAACAAATTTAACAAGTTTTGATAAAAGTTAAGGTTATACATATGTCTCTTGCAAGTTAAAGTCACATGAGTCGAGTGGGTTGTTAAATATAACTTTTATCATGTGTATGTGCGTGTGTACACACTGTGCACGTGCAGTGGAACACGGCGGTGTATTTTCCAGCCTATGGGAACACAAATGGGGGGGGGAGGCTAAAGTAGCTTTCATTTTTCAAAATTTTCGCGCCACCATTGGAATAAGTTATTATTTTTGACTGGGTTAATTGTGTGTGCACTTAAAGTGCACGGAAACGCCTATTACATCGCTTTAAAAAAATTTTTTAATTGTAACTGTTCACTTCCACCTATGCTATGGTTTTTTTCGAAAAGACAATAAAAAAAAACCTTCATTTTAAAAGTTAATAGTGAAAAGAAATCCTCGTTCCAACACATCACATGCGCCCAATTGCAACAAAGTTGTGGCATGACGGTATCAAAGATAAGAATCGCACAGCGAAAAAACCCTAAAAGCAAAAAGTAAACGTAAGAGCGAGTTGTGTTAAAAAGAATACCAGAGACAAGGCAAGGAGGCCGGCTGTGTATGTGAGTTGAAAACGGAGCGGCGATCGATAAGCGCAGCAAGACGCGATGCACGTAAACGAATGCATAAATATATACCTACGTAGTGTCCAATTGGATGCATAATAGACGAGGGACGAATAATAATAGCGTACAGTCGCAGCGTGTAGCGCACAGGTGGTTGTGCAGTAGCTATTGGTATACCGGAGCTTTTGCACGAACAATGGTGTAATTGCGGTTGTTTTTCGTTTTTATGGTAGAGTCGATGGAGATGCTGATAAAACTGAAATCGTTGAGGGGTACCGAGAGACCACACCTTGAGGATGACACAGACCTCGTTTGCAAAGGTGATAATGGTAGGTTTTTTCCGAGCACGCAAAGTCTTAGGCGCGATTTTATATACTTTTAATACACGATGAAGTTTTTTTTTTTAGAGTTTTACAAATAATTAACTCTCGGCAGACTTATTACAGGTACGGATACTCTCGATTTTTTTTTTTTGCTTGAAGTGCAACACAGTGAACTTCACGATCTTCATCATAACTTAAATTTTTAGTTCTTAATTTGATGTGAAATTGAAAAACCCTCAATTTCGTTGCATCTTTAAAATGCTACTTAACATACATTGATCGCAATTGAGACTCTATGCAAAAAAACAATTGCGCAGGACTCGCTAGCATACTAGACACGGCAAAGTGCATTCTCGCGGAAGCTTCATTCGTATGACAGCGTTCGCACCGACAAATTCGCTGTCTGGGTAGGGCCTGTTTTTATTCAAACTGAACTCGGACACGACAAAAATTAATTCACACGCAACTCCTGTAAATAATCACTCGTACGAGGAAGGTATAACCGAGGTCACAGAGAACAGTATTTTCCAAAATGACCTGGTGGTGATCGCAACGAACTGCCGCGGTAATTTTTTAATAAAATACGGAGTGATTGAAAAAACCATTAGACGAACGGACAAGTCGCTCGCTAAACGCTCGATGATTGAAATATCGGTTGCCCCTTTGATATTTACACTCAACGCTATTTCGAGAGCGATTACTTCAAAACTGCAATATTTGCTGGAGCTTATTTTTGCTCTCTTATTTGTCAGGCTAGCCTGGAATAAAATTTGAAACAATATGCACATCTAACGTTGTCGCACTATCATTAGATTTTAGTGGAAATGCAACATTCAATAATTACTTTTTTTTTCTCAACAATTACAGATTACGTCCACAAATTGAGCATGTCAAGGAGAAAAAGCGCAAGAGACAGACAATACGACAACGTGGATTACACTCAGCTAACCGAGACCGACCATGGTTTCATAGACTCACAAGTGGGTGTTTTTTTTACTTTCGGTCCATTTTCAACTTTCTTTTAACAATAAATTTTTTTACTCGAAACAGTTTGTGACACCACCAATAAAAATACCATGGAAGGCTATCACGCTCGCCACTATGCTGTTTATCGGAGGTACCGTGATGCTGAGTATAGGTATCCTCATCGTCACCGGCCACATAGACACAAAAGTGAGCCGCGCATTCATCAATAATTTATTGTTTTAAAAATTAAAACAACTAACAAGTATCTATGTTACATTTGCAGTATTCAGATAGAATGTGGCCAGTCATAATTCTCGGTGCTTTGATGTTTATACCGGGTGCCTACCACGTCAGAGTGGCCATCCAGGCGTATCGGAAGGTGCCCGGCTACTCCTTCGACGACATTCCTGAATTCGATTGAGACTATCGTTTTTGTTGATGAAAAATTATAGTGGCTGAGCGTGTACATAACGTTTTTTTTCCATGTTTTACCAAAATGTGCTATTATTCGACGGCGATCGACGAAAAAAAAAAAAAAAACTACCCGTTGGTCCTAAAAAGTTTTACATTGAATGATTACAGAAAAAGCTGGATTTTCCCAACAATTCATTATAAAATGATACGAAAGTTCAGCTTATCGGTGTTTTGCGAATATTCACGTGTAAACACGTTGGCTTTGCCTGTTTTTTAATTACCGTGATACGTGAAATTTATTTTTTCTTTTACTGATGCAATTAATGTATAATAAACTATTCACGATGTGATAACTGACAACTGGATTATTATTATCATAATTTAGTTGCACAATAAAGACTTGCGAGTTCGAGCAACTCAAACTTTACATACAAATAGAAAAAAATTATTGACTATTGATTGTTGAATTTTGTCTGATTGATTATTTTAAATTATCAAATAAAGACTTTTTATAGCGTAACTTTTATGTGTTGTTTATTTTTAAGATTGCAGTTTTGGTACAAAAAATATATTACATCAGGTATGTTACAAACTAAACACGACTTAATCGTTTTTTAAAACGCACATGCCTCAGGCATGTCAAATTGGGAAACACTTTTTTAAACTATAAAGTTATTAAGAATTTTTTTTAACGATAAAAAACGTCAAGAGTTAACAGTACAATCTAGTATTGCAGTATAGTAATGAATCAAATTCATTAATAAAAAGCTTACTGTTCGTCGAATGGATATCTAAAAATTTTTTATAAAAACTATACTATTACCTTCCTATTTTACATAGTTGTATTCTCATTCTGCAAGTATTTAACAAGAGTACGACTGACGATTCGAATTCCCTTGTCAATTTTACAGGCAGAAATTCGCATCGCAGGTCTAAACTGTGTAGCCAACAAAACCTTTATTTTACTTTTCATCATCTTGAACGCAACCCCTTGTTTTAACTCAGATATTTCATTTTTACATAACCTCTTGCTATTAGGTATATCCTAAAAACAAATTTATAACTTCTAATTTTGTATGATTGAAAACAAAATTACTTATCAGAGTACATACCTCAAACATCAAGACAACTTTCAATTGATTGGGTGTCAATCGTTCAATGACAGGTCCTAAGTTTAAACTTAATCTGTTTATCAGCCTTTTAACTACTAAATAAAGCTCTTCTTCTGTATAATTTACGTCAATGATTAATAGAGTAAAACCATTTTTTATCTGAAATTCACATATCAGAAGTTTAGTTTACTATACATGATCAACGTGTACCGGTCATATATAAAGTTAAATAATAAAAAAAATATACCTGAATATCCGAGTAATGTCCAATGCGAGTTGCATACTCTAAGAGTTGATGAGCCAAAACTTCGTCTACTGACAGCAAGTGAGTAATCAATTCTTTGTAAGTACTCTTGTGAAAAGTTAAATCATTGTCCATAACTAATCTACTTATTTCGATTGCCAAGTCATACTTTTTAAAATAAAGAAGTATCAGTGATAACTTATCTACCCATAGTGGAAGGTCTGTAACAATATGTGATTAAAAATTAACTTCTAAGAGCACCAATGGTTTTTATAGGGAAAAAAAAAAAAAAAAAAAGGTTTGCATTTCGATTCTTACCTATAGGATAGTAAGAAATATACTGATCTTTCAAAATCGCTTGAAATAAATAAACTGCCTTCTCTTGATCCTTGTAAGAAAGTGCCCTCAATAGCAAAAGGACTACTTTGTTCCGGTGTTTTTCGTGATCTTTGGTGCTACCTTTGACCAGCCACTCATCACGATTAGTTCTGATCAGCTGAGTTTCTACAACAAGTAAAAAAAACATTCAAAGAAAGGGATTTTCCATTCGTTTCAGTAATGCAGATTCAAAAGAATGTGTATTTAACTTAATAATTGGCACTTTAATATTTTACTTACGTGCCGTTTTTTTAAACATTTTATTCTCTCATTGTCACTTATTTCAAAATCATCACAAAAACTCACTCGCGATATTTTGAGTTTATTTTCGAATGATAAAATTAATACATGCTTAAGAATCTCCACTACTTGAATGGTTTAAAAGTTGTTTTTAACTTTCATCGATTATGGCAGAATCGACATAAATGAAAAATAACTCTTTCTAATATAAAAAAAGTTTGTTTTTTTTTTCTATAGAAAACGAGATGTTTGATGGAAAACGTCGGTGAAAGTAATATCTTTTATGAAGTTTTCATGAGTCAATTTAAATGATATTGAAGAAAAAGTTTTGCATGTATGAATTTATCATATAATGTTCAAATTGTACAATTATCAATATTCAAGTGCAGATCAATGAGTCCAATCACTTGAGTGATATTAAATCACACCATTATACTTGAAAAACACTTTTAGAATATACGTAGGTACAAAACATCATTTAAATTGATCAAATAATTCAAATTTTTTTTACAACACTTGTGGTGTATCAGCAACCATTACTTGAATGTTCTTTCATAAAATCAAAAAAATATAAGCTATGATAATTCTAAAAGCGTTGCCTAAATATTTATTTCACCGACGATTCCCTTCAAGACAGCTTCTAATAGCTTTTGAAAGCTTCATTATTTTACACATAATAAAAATAAACGGTAAACGCTGTGCTTGAGCGATAAGTACGATTACTAAAGAAAAAAAAAGGACTCACTTCTTAGCAAGTAGAGTGCCTCTAAGGGATCGTCATTTGCTAAATAAATTTCAGCGCAGATTAAAACATAATCAGTCCTCGGCTCTAAGGGTTCAATCGTCTTCACAGAACTTAAAAGCTGATGGGCCATCACCCATAAGGTATTTTTGGCCAGATCAGCAAGGGCGAGTAAACCAACTTCGAACAAAATGCTTATCATATTGCTGGACATGGAGCTGCTGTGCACTTTGTTTGAAAGAAAATAATAAAAAATGAAATTGCAGGATTTACTCGTTGAAAAGATTATTAATAGAAAACTGACTGTTAGACGTACTTCTTTTTACTTTTTTTTTTNTTTTACACTTGTATTATTTTCGTTTGGAAGGTTAAATTAAAAAAAAAAGATGTATTAAACAGACATGTATACAACGAAAATTTTATACAAAAGCTCGTTTTAAAACAATGTAAAAAACGATTTAAAATCTTTATTTAAAACTTAAAATTTAGAAAAAATAAAGACAAAAAAAAGCAAGTATTACCTTAACTCACAAGATAATTTTGTAAATTGAAACTTAATAACTAAATGTGACGAATGTTCATTGTTCCGTTATAAAACATAATAAATATTTACCTAATTTAAACTTGTCTCGTAGTACTCTAGTACCATTAAATAAATTACAAATACAAAATAAAGGACCACTAAAAGATACAGTCATATTGAAACATTATCTAGTAAAATTGTATTTAAAAGTCAATTAGAGATAAAAATAAAGTCTTAGTATACATGAAGTCAATAATTGACAATTTTTAGCATTAAGTGAATTATTTTTAAGCATGACGCAATGCGTTCATCATTTTACTAAAAAGACCGAAATTTAATATTAGAATATACTTTGTTTGTCCAACATTAACTCCATCTTTAACGCGAAAGGAAACGTTAATTTTTTTTTTTTTTTTTTTAACATAACTTATTAACAGAAAAAATTATATCAATTAATTACTTTTGAATTTGGTAATAAAATATTTGTTTCTAATTGTTAACAAAAAAACTTGACTCATGTATTTTCCGACAGTCTTGTGTATCAAACACCACCTCGAGCTAAGTCTGCTAGACGTCTAATACGCAGGCTTGTTACGATCGTGAGTAAGAAACTTGACAATGACGTGATCAGGATTACCTGCGTGACGAATAACTCCAGCAACATGACGTTCACAGGCTAAGACGTTGCTGCACAAGATTTGATAGACTGCACGTTGGTAGAGATGGTTATCAAATTTCTCCATAAGAACAAAGTCGTTGAGCATTTTAAAAACGTAACTATAATCAGCGTGGGAAAGGCCTGCTTGTATATTGTTCACGGTATTGTACAATTTCCAATACTTCTTACGCCATACGCTTCCAGGATCATTAGCTTCTAAACATACAAAAATCGGTTCATTATATTTAAACAGAGTACAAATATTTAATTACGAGTAAATAATTACAGATATACATTCAGTTCAGTTATTGAGTGACATACCAACTTCCTTTAGGAAGTATTCTGCATTGCCAATATTTTCGCCACTTCTAGGACGGTCTCCTTCTTCTAAGGGGGAATTATTGGGCTGCTGACGGCTTCCAGAAGAAAACCTTGCTATTCTTGCTTCTATTGTGGCCTGCGATGGTTTTAGATTTTCGGTTCCTTCCAGAGGATTTTTTTTTGGTGGCAAACTGCAAACAACAATAGTATTTTGAGTACAAAAATTTCATTTGGATTTAAATATAATAAAAAAATGTATCCATTACTTGGGAGTATTGCCATTGCTCATCAAGGGCACGGTATTAAGTACTTCTTTAGTATTTAAGCCTACCACTTGCTTATTTGCGAGGTCGTAAAATTTATTGAGCATGTCAGGACTTATTTTTTTCCTTTCCGTATTGCTCAGTTTGTTATGAACCAGTTCATACACCTCTTTGATATGACACAGATTTTTCTTACGTGTCAAGCATTGTAGTATTGTAAGCTCAATCATATCCCGGGGCGGCACTGCTTTTTGGCACAAGTCTTTGATTGCCTCCCAGCAGAAACCTTCCGAGAGCTTGCCTTTAACGACAGCACAAATTTTGTGCACTGTTTCGGTGTCATTGACTTTGATGATCGTTGAAATTTGCTTGACAAACGACTCGACCGTATGAAGTTTAGTTGATAAACAAAAATTGAGCAGTTCGTCTATGATTTTGTCCGTAATCATTCTTTTTTCGTAATACTTTTGAAAAGCCGTAAAACATTGGTCCTTAAGTTGGGGTAACATTAATACCCAAGCATGTTTGAGGAAATACTCAAAATCTTGAGTTAAAGCGAAGTCAATCAGATGAAAAAGCAATTCGGTAGTTTTATGCTTAATCATATTGTACAAGTGATTCAGCTGCAAGAAATCATTTTATTACAAATGACACAATAACGTGGTACGTATGCCAATGAAAAAGCTGATTAAAATTATATTATTTACTCACTCCATGCTTGTAATTGCAAGTTGACTCCTTTCTGCAGTTACCTACACGTAAACTTGAAAAACAATATTGACTGAAGAACGTTGAACGCTGATTCGCCAAGTTGACCATGGATGCCGGTTTTGTGTTCATGTGGAGCATCGAAACATTATCGAACTGACCGTTGATCATGCCGTTATTGCCAAACGTCACGTACTCGTCGGTATAAAACTGCTGCATTTGAAAGTTGGCCTCATCTCTCATCATTTGCATCTCGTTCATCGTTACGAAATTATTGAAAGTCGTACCACCCGCTACTGGCTCGGCTTTTCTGGTATTCATCGTTGGCGCGTGAAGAGATCGTTCCTGATTGCCAGCGGTATGCTTTTCTCGGGGGGGTATCCAATTAGTGGCCATTCCTGGTGGCGGTATATTCCTTCTTTGATTTGGCTGATCACGATTGTACCGTCGCCGCCGGTCCTCGACAGGCGTGTATGCCAATTCTTCCTCTATACTCTTGCGCTCGGTTTCGAATTTACCATGTCGTGGGCTCGACTCTATATCTTCCTCTTCGCTAAAATTGAATGATAATTTTTTGGATTTATTTTACGCTTACATGAAATTTCGAGACCCATCAAGGGACTTACTAGATCAAATCATCAGCGTCAGGATGTAGCGAGATTCCCTCTTCCTCGCTATCGTAACTTATGGTTTTTCTTTCATGATGAAGTGCGTTTTTGATTATCGAGGCACATTCGTTCAAGTGGCTTTGATCAGGAGTCTTGGGACCAAGTCTTTCGTGAATGGAGACTCGCCTCGGAGTCGTAGGCGTTGAATTACAAAGCTGAGATGACGCTGATTGATTGTCCTTATCGGGATCTTGTGACTTAGCCCTATTAAATAGATCCTCGATTTGGTTGGCTCGATCGGATGCCATAGGTCCAAGTCTTTCGTGAACGGAGAGTCGTCTTGGAGTCGTTGGCATCAGGGTGCAAGGCTCAGTGGTCAAAACTTGATTGTTCTCATCAGGCTCCGATGGCTTGGCTACCTTTGCCGAGGGCTCACTTTCCTCGTCAAACTTTCTTTTGCGCACGTTTGAATCACTAAGATCTGGATCTGCAGTTTTGAAAATGAATGCATTCAATACAATTTACCAAAGAATAAGTGATATGAAAGCTTACCTGACTTCTCTGGCACAGCACTAGATGTTGAGACCGTCGGAGCCTCTGCCGTTGAATTCATAGACCTGTTTAACCTTGGATCTCTTGAAACAGAAGTCAAATTCTTTTGTGGGCTAATTGATCTTGTTAATCTTGGATCTCTAATCACGGATTGTAAATTTTGTTGATCTTTATCATTACCGTTCATAGGAGGTGCCAAGTCTGAAAATTATAAGATAAAGCTATAAATATACATATACTGGTGTATACAAGAATTGTGTTTAAGTTCAATATTTCATTTGAAATAATTTTTTTCAAGTCTTAAGGCGCTTACTATTGTTGTCGTAGCTTTTATACAATGTAATATTTTCACTTTCTGACATCATGTTGACATCTCTGCACAGGTCTTCAAAACTTTCGTCACCATCCTGACCATGATTAAATTCGCTAGATTCTGCATTCTGCTTATCTGGGGTTTCAAAATTGAGCGTTTGATTCAAGATAAGCCGTTCTTGTCCAACATTAATCGTGGTACCACCGATTGGTGGAGAAGAATCTTCTGATGTTACAGGTAATAGAGATGTGGGTGATCCAGTTGTTTGAAAATTAGTGTGCGTTGTTGAGTTGACGAGCTTATCCTTGGGGCTTGGGCTGATAAGAAAAATACTAGATAGGTAAAGTATCGTAAGTTATAAGGCATGATAAATCTTGTGAATTTGTAGTACCTTCGTTTTCCTATATCGTTTGATGGCGTTCGACTGTTGACTGTATGATGGGTCTTCTTTTTAAAGGAGGGTAACTTGATAGTTTTTCTTGTGGATAACGTATTGATCTTAATCAAAGGTTTTTCCGATAATGATCGAAATAATGGGGATTTTCCCATTGTCTGTTTTCGCGTCATCAACGAAGAATCATTTAATGTGTTAGTTTCTGAAAGTAAATTTTTTCAATGAGAAATTTTAGAGTATATTTTTAATTTATCTTTCAACAAAGATTTGTCGTTTGTCTACTGATGAAATTGCACCAAGTCACGACGATGGTGGAATAAAGAAAATTAATACATAAAAAAGTATAAACACTGGACAAAGGTAGCTCAGAATAATGAAAAATGCCGTTGAAACGTACATTTGAATATTCATCCTAACACATAGAAATGAATGATACTTAAAAAAATGTCAACACTTACGATTATGAATAGACTTTTCAACATCAGATTTAAAAGTAACATGGTGATCCGAAGGACATGATTTCAATTTCTTTTTTTTCGACTCCTTCCTTTCATTGTCAGAGCCAAATTCGCGATGCAATGGCTGAGTCTTGTTGCTATTGTTATCATCTGTATTTGTTTGACTTGATTTTTTTGCTGATTTTATAAAAATTTTTTCCTCATTACTGGAGCCAGCACCAAATGATAGCAGTTTTTTTTTGGTGCTATCATTATCAGATTCGACAGTTTTATCACGAATTTTTTTTTTCTTTGACATATGAGCTGGATAGTTGACGGTTATACTGTCAACTGACGAACAAAGATCATTACTACTTATGCTTTTAGTTGGTGACACTTTGTTTTTATTGTTTGTAACACTCAATTTTTCAACTCGACTTTTTGAATATTTATTTGTCGTTTTGCTCGCATCATTGCTCATTCGTTTTGATTTTGACATTTGAATTTCATCATGTTCAAGATTTATCCTTGTTTTATGAACCATACTAACTTCTCTATCAGAATGATTATCATCAGAAACACCATTTTCGCTTTTGCCATTGCAAACGATTTTTCTATCAAGTTTGATTAATTTGCTTGATATTTTAACTTGATCTTTCAAATCCTCCGTTTTTCTGGATGCAGTTTTAGATATTTTCGGAATTATTCGAAAATGAGGATGTTGATTTTTCAAAGCCTGTCTCTTTTTATGAAATGCGACTGGATTCAGCCTTATACTGCTGGTAGCATTTTTAGTAATCGTATCTGGGACATTGTTACATTTTCTAAATTGATCTGGCATGGGATTTTCAAACTCATCATCTGAATCTACGACTATTCTTTTTTTTGCCAATGGATTTTTTACAGTTGATGATTTCGACGCATTATGATTGTTCGAGTAAAAATCATTGTTTCGCGAATTTAGCGGAGATGGTGGTTCCTGCTTGATATTCACATTCCGAGAATCAAAGCACTGTTCTAGTCTGTTAGAGATATGCAGTGGCTTCCTCACGACTTTTCCCGACACACCAGTTTCCCTTTTCACTTTTACAGTACCAGATAACCGTTTGTGAGTAACTTTTTTTTTACCACCGACAACTGGACTCCTAGTTGGGGAACTAGCAGGACTCACGATTTCTTCTTTGACATTTGTCATTTTTACTACTGGTATTTGAGGACAGTTTGTAAGTATAAGGTGATACTTTTTAGCAACTGCTAGTTTAATATTAAATTTTCTAGAAAGTTCAATAAAATTAGAGTCTTCTGTACCCTTTTCATACGACTGGTTGGCCAAATTTGACGACTTTTGACTCTGAATCTCATTGCTGACAGTACACGAGATATTTTCCGTCGATACATTGCTCAAACCTCTCAAAGAAAGCCTGTGTATGAAAAGTTGTGTGTTAAAAATTGGGTCATTAATTTTTATCGTAAAAAAATTATTTTACTATCTCAAACATTCAATAGGACAGGCACGTAGTCTATCGCACTGGGTTACTTTGATAATCTTACGCTACACCAGGTAAAAACGATGAATGGATGCTATGTTATCATCAGTCACTTGCAATTCATAAATAACAGTAGACAATAAATACCAATGAGAATTCAATCACTATTATCCTATCAGTTTTTAAATGACTTGAGCAAAGACTTTTGTTGTTGGTTGTTTATAAAAAAAAAAAAACTATAACTTTTGGATGGAAAATGTGTTATGATGTTTTTACGATAAAAGATAAAAAACTAACTAGTAGGCCGATACATGACCGCGCTTGTGATCTATCATACTAATTTACCACTAGTTCAGCTTTACATTTTGTACAGTGAAAACGAACCCAAATTAATTTTCCTTTAGATCTTTTAGCTCTATTCATTTAAAATTCATATCATAAAGGTAACTTAACAAACTCTCAAACATCAAACGTAATTGTGAAAAAAGTGTGGAAACAACTCTTGACAGTTGCCACGATGTTATTAGTTGTCTAGTAATAGTTGCGAAAAGCAGTAATCTGATGACAATAAGGTGTCTGTAGTTTTTTTCATAAAATTCATCTAAAAACTCAAAGATAAGCCAGTACAGTAAACTACATTCATGCCTTCAATTAAAAAGAATAAGATTTGGATAAATTCATTCATAATAAAGGAATTTCAGGACTTTAGTGCAAATATTACAAATAATTTTTGGCTCTATAAATCGTACTCCATGTGCACTTTGCATGGCCCCAAAGTTCGAATCTCGATCTCTGTCTTGTTGTATGTGAGTAAACTGGAAATAAATGGGCTTTTCAGCCTGTATACATGTAATAAGTAAAGTTAAAACTTATTTTCATCATGAAAATACAGCTGTTAAAAAAGACACTTAAGTATTACAATGGAAATTTATTATTTTTACTGATTTTCTTTGATGATGGTAAAAAAATAATACAGACAAATGTAAACATTTGATATGCTTTTGACAATGTCAGTTGAAAGACAATTTACAATCAAAACATTAACAGCATCATCAACCATGTACTTTTAAAGAAAAAAAATGTTTACTTTAGATTTTGGTAAAAAGAAATTTTTGTAAACATAAAGAAGAGTTAGGTTGTTGAACGAAGAAAGAGATGGTTACAAGTTCAAGATACCCATCTCGAAAATATCATAGAATAAAAAAGAAAACAGAACACACACACCCTCACATTTATATATACATGTATATATACAGCGTTCTAGCTACACTGGAGGAGCCAAAAGCCAAACAGAGAAGGAAAGTCGAAAATTTTGAGATAAAATTAGTAAATACAAAATTAGTCCGGGCAGTTAATTTTATTATTAGTGTAATGGGTAAAATGTGAGTCTAATGAGTCGATGTCATGTAAATCATAAGATTGTTGTGGTTGGATTTGTAAACAAAACATTACCATGTAAATGTGTAAGTGCGCGCGTAAATAGCAATATCTTCACACTTAGAAACACTATGTGAAAACAATGATTTCACATTGCATTTGTACTTGAATGAATTTTTCAGGGTATAGTGACAAATAAAAATTAAATAAAAACTATTCCGAAACGTAATGTAACCCACATACGAAAATAAGAAAAAACAATTAAGTACTTACACCCTGCTTTAGTGAGAAAAATTAAAAAGGATACTGATAGAAGGAGGAGAAGGAGAAGGAGAGAGAGGGAAAGAGGATTGAGAACGCGAGATTAACAGTTGAGTATTTACAGCTGAGTGGTCGAATCATAAAAAAAGTGAATAATAGCAACAATACAAGTGGGTAGCGATAAAAAACAAAAATAAAAGGACGTCACAAGTTGGTCCAACAAACGAACATCAAGGTGGTGAAAACTGCACTTACCTGCCCTTGGACTTGACGTGCAGAGGAGTCGCAAGCATCGTCTGGTTGGCCGGTATTGGGGGCGCCTTGTTCTCCGAAGACTGTTTCTTTTGGCTCGCTGGCGCTGTCTCGGTCTCTGGAGCCGATGTAGAAACTGGCACTGCCGAAGGCGTCATCGTGCAGCTCTCTAGCTTCTCGCCGCGGCGACAACTCGCTTCTAAAACCCTTTATATATGCGTGCACGGCAGCGACACTGTTGGTCCTTGGGCCTACTTATTCTGGGAAAATAAACAACGCACACACATCACGAGAAACCAAAAAAACACTCTATATGACGTTAGAATACCTGTATATACATATATAATAAGTATATTTTAAAGATGAGAAAAAAAACACACATATTTATGACACGCGCGCGCGTATAAGCAAGCGAGAGAAAATCGTGCACATGCAAGGTACCTTACAGGAACGCGGGGTCGGGGAGACCAAACGGCCAAAAGGGCATGCATTGTAATCATGGTTTAGAGACTTACGCGTTGAAATTTTGCGGATTGGCAACGTATTAGCAACAGTGTTATGCTCTTCCTTTCATGTCCCGCTGGGCCTTTTCCACGGCGTCGAGCACCCGGATGATCGGCTCTCTCTATATACTGTTTCGATGATGCAAGGACCACAGCTTCGAATGTTGCTCTACTACTACTTTCAATGCATTAAGATCTGGATACATACAATTTATGGTGTGTTACCCAATGAGAGAGTTAAGCTTTGTTGGTAGCCATATAAGTAGACGGAAGCAATGAGATTAATGAGAGAATGGGTAGCATAGGTGTAGAGGAAAAAGTGGAGGGGCGCGGGCCAGGGGTACTTCATCACGTAGGCGACGAGCACCCGAACATTTAAGAGAGTGGTACTTAGCGTAATTAAATGTGGTTCGCGAGACTTTTTAAAAGATAATTAAACCTTACAACGGCATTGGGATGGTTGAAAGAATGCATAAGAAAGAGTAGGTACTTATAACCAGAATTGGTTTCATTAATTTTTTTGTGGGCGCCTCAATGGCTTACGCCGGCAGGCCGGAACTCGTTGCTCTCGTGTTGTCCCCGCGCGCGTGCCGCTCTCTCTCTCTCTCTCTCTCTTTTCTCCCACCCCCTCCCCACAGCCATGACACTTCTTTGGCGCGAAAATGGACTACCTTTGAATTATTTTGTTCGAAAAATTGAGATGTGTTACTGTGAGTTTCATTTTTTTATTATTTCAGTGCGGTCCTGTGAGATTTTCTTTAACGAACGTTTATTATTAAGTCATTTTACTTTATATCAACAAATTCCTCTGAAGCTGTACACTGCATGTTTGCACTTATTTTTTTGGGCAAAACAATAAAATAACTACAGTAAACGATGCTGTTTACGCAAAGCTAATACTGGCAAATGTTAACTTTTTTTATTTCCTGTTTTTGTTCTCTTTGAACAATAATTTGAGAATTTTATTTTTACTAATAAAGTTTTTCCAATCAACCACCAAATGTTTGTTCCATTTGATAGAGATTGCAGTATACTTTATCACATTACATTTAATAAATGTGACAAATTTGTGTTTTTAAGACACCACTTACTCATAATAGCGAATTTTTATGAATGCAATATTATGTACTATTTTTTCGAAAGGTATTTTTAATTAATATGAGGTTTTTTTTTTAANTTTTTTTTTTTTTTTTTTTTTTCATTAATGGCGTTTTTATACAACGGGTTATTGGTATATGCAATGCTTACTTCCTCGTTGGGGAACGGTCCAACCCAAGGCCAACAGCAGCAGCACCGACCGGGCGCCCGATTTTTGCCACATGATTGATTTTCTCCCAAACTTCAAAAAAGTTTTCGATAAATTTTAATTATATTTAATTTTTCTCTAATAATTTGAAAAAAATCGTACCAGATGCAATCAAGTCACAATGTGTCTCATTACAAAACAATATTCTAGCTTCGCACTAAATATTACTCGTTTTTCGCCCAAGTAAACCACTTATTTGATGATGAACTGCATCTTTTAATAAATAATGAATGTAATTTAATCTTCATTATTTGTATTTCCTATGTTCGTAATGTCCCGAAAAGGAAATTTGCAAGGTACATCATCGAACGGAAAAAGCAGAGAAATGAATTATATTCACCTTAAACGTATAATACAATTTTTATTCACACTCAAATGAATGTCCAACATTACATTGAAATAATCCTTTCAACGTAACGACAGCACATAATATACTCGCTTGTACATAATTATACCAATGATGTTTGTTCTGAGAATCCGTTAAGTATAATACGCAAAAGAAAAAAAACCATCTACAACTTTGTAAAAAAAAAAAAAAAAAAGAATAATAAAAAAAAAATAAAGAATTTTACCACTTTTGGTGATAAAACTATTAAAACATCGTGTGATCATTAATCATCATTGCACACCGAGTATTGGCCCTGGATCGATAAAATTGGCCCTGGATCCACCCTGGCTCTGAAAACTCCCCCCCCCCCCTACTATCTGTATTGGTAATCGTCGGTGCCGTAGTTCCACCTTCCAGCCATTATCTGGTCTATCCAGGCTCGGGCGTAGGCTACGTTGGCGTACACGCCGGGTACGAGGTTCTCCCCGCAACCGATGCCCCAAGCCACGATACCCGTCTGGTAATATCTGTTGTCCGGGTCGTTAACTATCGGACACACCAATGGACTGCCCCCGTCACCCTGTCCGATTAAAAAGTATCATCATTATTATTATTTATTTTTTTATACATTATACTCTTTTGTTCGCGGTGTATAATAATTCATCGTACAGCAAAGACTTTATCAATACACGAGTACAGATTCACCTACTGGAACACGATTTTTTTTTCAACCATCATCAACCTATCCTCGGACGTTGTCACTGGTATCAGTTTTTGTTTCCTTTTTTCTTAAACGCACAACTTATTGGCATTGATTTTACGAAAGAAAGAAAAAAGTGAATTTTACGGTACCCCCAAAAAATCGTGTTCCACAGAGGTTTTCCATGATGAAAAAAAAAAAAAAAAAAAAAAAAAAAAAAATTCTCGCCATATCTTCCCATTAGAATTCCTCAAGCAAAACGGAAGAAAGAAAAAAAAAAGATACCATACCCTGCACGTGTCCCTGCCGCTCTCGCCACCGGCGCAGATGAAGCTCTCGTGGAGCTTGAAGTATCTGCCGAGTCTCGTGCCCCTCAGCGAGTTCTGGAAAGCACATTTATATATATATGTGTTACTTTAATTGTTGGATTTTAGTCAATAATGTTTACAGCTCAAACGGTGTATGTATGTACGAAAACGTACCTGACACGCGGTATGGGGCACGATGGGCAGCTCCACCCTCTTGAGGATGACCTGGTAGCGCCCCTCCTTGCCGAACACGTCTTTGCCCCAGCCGCTGGCGAAGCAACGCTGGTAATCAAAGTTCGCCCCCAACTCGGGCAAACAGACCGTGTCGATGTTTTCGGCCGCGTTGACGGGCTGGGCGAGCCGTAGGAGAGCAAAGTCGTTGCGCAACGAGCCGGAGTGGTACAAATCGTTGGTCACGTACTCGGCCACTTGGCGATCCTGGTGGGGAAAGACCTCGTTTTTCGTCTGCGTGTCCCACTCACCGGCACGGACCTTCAGGCTCGAGGCTTGCTTGCTGCAGCGTCGGAGAGACACGACATTTTTTTTTTATTTTTTTTTATTTTTTTTTCTTCCATACTCGTGTACGTAAATTAAGCGCGTCGTCGATTTTCGGAGGAAGAAGGTATGATATGTAAGTAGCTCGGACAAGGAGAGACACGAAATCTCCTTGCTCATTGGGCCAATAACATTTTTTACAATCTAAATATACCATAGCTAGGATAAAAATTTACATAAATCCTTGCTCAATGGGTGATATTTATACTGCTAATATGATAAAAAAATGTTATTTGTTGATTCTTGCACGTTTACGAAGAATTGTACTATTCATTTTTTTTTTCTTTTCTTCTCTTGTTGTGGGTGTAAAATTAGGTAAAATCGTAGGAATAAACAAATAATCGCTCGATCAAAATGAGCTAAATAAAAAACCTCGATTATTAATTGATAAATTTTTGCACGGGCATACCAGCCATCTCTTTTTTGCATGGCAATCCAATTAACTTTAAAAGACAATACGGTATATAGTACGTTGTATAGCATCTGATGGATTAAAAAACAAAAAAAACAAAAAAGATACTTTACCCGTGAACGCAATGCGCCGCGGTAAGAACGACGCTCGGGTGGATGAGAGCACCCCCGCACTGGTAAACGTTGACGAGCTCGCCTTGGTTGCCGATCGGCTCCTCCTGGAGTATGGCCACCATCCACGGGAACTCGCCGAACTGGGCCTCGCCGTCCTTGGCTCCGGTTATCTTGAAACCAACCCCATTCAAATTCCTCCTACCGCACCCTCGACGCACCTGCGGCCTCGGCGTGATCTTTTCCTCGGGTGGCTTTATGTCCGGCCCCTGGCAACATACGTCCAGGTAATCCTCGCACGGGCCCGACAACCTACACAACCATATGTCATTCATTATACCATGTCTTGATATATATGTATAAAAAAAATATTATACAAGCACCTGATGTCAATGAGGCCGACGCCGTCGTCGATGATCGTGTGGTTTTGGCACTGGTAGTAGGGCACGCACTCGCAGTCGCCTTCGCCGAGGCGGCCGGGGGTGTTTTCGAGAACGACGCCGTTGCCGATCCCGTTTGGCGATTGGAAAACCTTGTCGACGAGATTTGGGTTGAGCGGGGAGGGGGACGTTTGGGCACCTTGCGAATGCGAATTTTTTTTTTTTTTTTTTTTTTTTTCATTAATGGCGTTTTTATACAACGGGTTATTGGTATATGCAATGCTTACTTCCTCGTTGGGGAACGGTCCAACCCAAGGCCAACAGCAGCAGCACCGACCGGGCGCCCGATTTTTGCCACATGATTGATTTTCTTCGGCTGGATATTATATGGAAATTGCGGTGAAAATACGGGTAATTATAGGACTACCTAAAGACTTTCTTTTTTTTTTCAATGGTATAGAGTAATTTCTTATCGTATTGTCCCGTGATTGATTTTTTTTTTTTTTTTTCTCATCTCATACCGATGCGTCAACTGAATTAATTTTAAATAAAGTATATGTTAAAAGCCAATAAGTTGGTTTTTTTAGTCGATGAATTTCAATTGAAACGACTCGTCGTTTCGATAAGACGTTGTTGTTTTAAAAGCATTTTTATACAAGTATATTTACATATTACGCGCTATTAATAGTTGCGTCAAAACGATACGTTCGAGACAACTTTTTGTTTTTAAATTCTTTTTTTCTTTTTTTTTTGTTTTATGCTTATCTAAAAGTCGAAAATAACTCTTGGCACGTTTAGTGTTGATTGGTGCGGTGTGTATATTATGTGTAATTTATGTTTGGATGTTGACGATTTTCCAGTTTTTATCCCGATCGAAGGGAAAATCGGCCGAAAAAGTTGCGCACGACATCTTTTTTGTACAAACCACGAGAAACTCGATTCAAGACACAAGTAGCAAGGTCTTTTTGCACGACTTCGCGGCTTCATCAACAAATTGATGATTTCGTGTTTGCGTACGAGAGTGACGTCTCTCGCGCGTACAATTATCGAGTGCGCCCCATTGATTTCTTTCGATGCGTTTGTTGACATTAATTGTTGACTCATTACCAGCCGAGGGGAAAAATTCGGGTGATTTCGTGCGTCTTTCGACAAAATGTTTTTCCCAACTTTTGTGCGCTTTTCGTTCATTTTCGCAGATGTGCATAGCTTTGTAAATTCACCCAAACTCGTTTAAATGATTCACTTCGAATTAAATTTATTCCGATAGCGTTGGGAATTTTTTAATAAATAATAATGACCAGAAATATTGCAAGAAGAATTTTTTTGAATAAAGCGTTGATTACAATTAGTACATCGCTAGTTGAAAAAACGTTGTAAGTGAGTGGTAATACTTGAGAATGTTTTTCACACGGAATGAGCTGAAATGTTGATGTAAATTGTCTGTTTTTAATTTAAAAAAAAAGAAAAAAGTTTACATTCCTACAAAAAAACTGAAAATGAAAATATTCTCTGTATGAAAAAGTCTCTTTTATCATAACTATACTCAGTAGAAATGTATTTTATTTTAAAACAAAGTTTTTCCGCAAAACCCACGAATTTTCGGCAAACACTCCTGGAAAACCTCTTCTGAATTTTTATAGTCTTTTGACTGAACTGTGGAAAAAAAATCCCAGCATCGCTGTTCAATAGCCCATCCCGAACAAGATCGCACACAAAAACAACACTTCCGTCGAATGTTTCCCCCTCGCTCCATGACTGTACGCGAGACTATCGAAAAAAAAAAAAAGTTTCCCATATTTTGTTTAATCAAAAAATCGCCCCATTAACAACAGCATCAATCTCTCGCACCAATAAAAAACAAAGTAGTTAATCATAACAACCTAGTTTCGCTCTCGAGGAAAATCCCTGGAACGTCTCCGCTACATGTACATATACATATTTCCTTGGAGATAGTCGTCATTGTGCAACGGCCAGCGGTTTCTCTCTCGCTTCGCCAGATAAATTGTGTTACATACTTATCATGCGGCACTGACCTTTGCGCATGTAAACCGGTCGTATTGCGTGTATAGAAGCGATTTGTCGAAACTGTGCTGTTCGAAGTTGTTTTTTTTTTTTTTTTTTTTTTTTCAAACTAAACGGTTCCTCGCGTGCGGAAGACGTCTATTCAAATTGGTTAATGAAAAAACCTTGCTTTCCGATGAAAACGTGTAAGTTTGAGGTGTGGGTATAGCCTATTGATTATCCTGTCACGCAAGAAGTTTGAGTATGGATGTATTGTGCTTGTGCCTATTTTTTTTACACGTTCACGAAATTCTACGCAAAAATTTTCATAAATTTTCGATCAATTATGTAAAAAAATACTTGTGAGTTACTCTTAAAACATACTTAACTTATTTTAAATTTACTTTAGTACGAATTCATTTTTGTTAGCACTGACAAAAAAAAAAAAACAATAGTTAACAATAATGTTTCAAAAATTGTTTGAAAAGTGTCACTTGTCTTTTTATTGCAAAAAGTTATCGAAAGTACATTACGTATCGTTTTGGAGACGTCCCAGTTTTGAAAGAACTAATTCCCGTGCATCTAGTTTATACGCTTGCGTGATAATTCTCCATTTTTTTGAATAAAAAAAAAAAAAAAAACTTTCTAATATTCTTTGTCAGTTCTGCAATACCAAAGTCAACTAGGATATTTTACTGGCATATATATGTATATTATGTAACGGATAAATAAATGACTATTATTATCAGGAAAGTAAATGACTAACTGTCGAGTCAAACAGGTTGAAGAAGACGGGGAACAAGCTCAACTGCCTACAGGGGGATGCGTTCGAATTTAGCCGAAGCATATATTATCTGATTGATAAAGGTTGTGAGGCGGATGAGGTAAGCGTTGTAACAGCTGTCGGTGCACTTGTGATTTTTGGTAAGCCGTACAAAACTTGAAAAAATGCACGTACTCGCGAAAAAAAAAAAAACAACAAACAACAAACAACAAACAAAGGGTCGAACCGACTCTGATTAAGGATCGGTTTTGATTGAACAAGTACTTTATAGAGTAACTGGATTTGTTTATTTTTTTTTTTAAATTCATATTTGAAATCTAATAGTTGTATATTTTCCCGTGACTCAGCCTGACCGGTAATTCCCATACTGTTATTACTTACTATCAAGTTTTGTAAATTTGAATCATCAGGAGGAAGAGTTAAATTTTGCGTCTTACTTGGAAAACCATGAAAATGGAAGTTACGCTGAGTTTTTGATTATGCTTGATATTTAGGGGGAATTTTTGTTTTTTACTTTTTAACAAAAATAAAACTTACAATTGCAAACGACGCTACAATTTTACTCAAGTTCAGAGGTTATTTATTACTACTAAATTACTACTAATTTTTTTTTTCTTTTTTAGAAAAAGGTTATTTTCAACACAAAAAAAACTTGGCAACTTAGAAAAACGAGGACAATTTATTCGAGAAGCGAAGACGAAGCAAAAATTGTTTTTTCACCAAAAAGTTTTTTATTCAAATTCAAAACAGTGATCGAAGATAAGTTCAGCGAAGAGCTTACGTTTTTGCAAAATTTGTACTTATTTCCTCAATCTCAGTGCACGTTAATCAATAAACATCACAGCCAATGATTAACCGCAGTATGTTATTACTTTTTTCTAAGAATCATAATATTTTTCTTGCAACTCAAGGTTGTACTTGGCTGTACAAAAAAAATACCATCGATCCTCCGTAATATATTTAACCGAAGTGTTTTAGGACTGTACGATCCATTCGATTACTGCGTTGTATCCACAAAAAATATATACATCTTGTGTCAATATATATATATATATATATTTCTACCAATCGTGGAATAAATTACAATAATCGTTTCGTTGGCGCGTAAATTGAAAATCAGATAATCTCGTTTCTGCAACAAACAGGAAACGTGAATTTTTGTTTTTACTTCGTATCTCGTACGAAAAATCGTGGGGATGTACAAAAAAGTTTGTTACTTCACTGAAATTAAACAAAAAAAAAAACAAAAAAAAAAAAAACTAGCACGAAACTCCGTCCTCGTCAGATTACTCACCGATACAGAAAATCCCAAATGACGGCCAAAGGGTGCAAAAAAAGTTATATATTAATCACTTGGAATACAATAACGTATTCCCAAAGAAGTGGACGTCTCGACGAGCCAAGCGACGAGATACTATTATACCAAGACGAAAGAGTCGGTAGTCCTCGTTACGCCGATCTGTTCTCCCTACTCTTCGGTTTGAAAAATCATCATCTCGCGATATCGTATATGTATTTATATGTATACACCCATACTTCGATCTCGGTTTGCATGGGTATACATGTATAGATCGGTAATGTAATACTTACGCGCAATCATGTAACGTACATAAGGTACATATACCTACTTGTATTGCAGATATATATATATAATATCGGGAAAGTCCCGTATATACGTTCGCAGCCATGTATAGAACGATGCGTTCCTGGTAATCCTTCGGGGGTCGAAAAATTTTCCCCGTTTAAGTACTTACCGATCAAGGATTCCGTGTGTACTATATTTTATAAGCTTTACACGTGCGTGCGCGCGCGTGAAGCTTACGAAATATTTCGGAGGTGGACAGTGGACACACACACATATATATATATATAAACACGAGACTCGAGACCTTGCTTGGGTGATGGATGTCAAGGATGCGCGCTCCTCGGGGGACGGCGTGCGTGCAGACACTGACATTGCGTAATTATGGTATTATACGCCGATTAATAAAACAAAACTGGATATTGGGTGAGTCAATTTTTTTTTCTTTTTTTTTTTCCAATCGGAAAGAGACTCGAATGTTTTATTTTACTTTGCGTGATTTCACCTCGGGGTTCACGGTCATGTTTAATATGGACGCCAGCGGTTTCTCTCTCGCTTCGCCAGATAAATTGTGTTACATACTTATCATGCGGCACTGACCTTTGCGCATGTAAACCGGTCGTATTGCGTGTATAGAAGCGATTTGTCGAAACTGTGCTGTTCGAAGTTGTTTTTTTTTTTTTTTTTTTTTTTTTTTTTTTTTTTTTTTTTTTTTTTTTTTTTT